GAACGAGCTCTGACTATTGAGAGCAGAGACACATTATATAGAAAACTATTCCTCTTCAATAACTGAGTGCCTATATGACTGATTGATTAATTGGGCATATAATCCTTATGAGAGGAAAGTCACGCTAAAGTGAACTCTTTGGGAATTCCACTCGCTGGACAATTGGGGGAAAATTATTTTAGAATACTTTTTGTTTAGAAAATTTTCAAATATCTTTGTTTTTATTTATTTTCCTTAGTGGAAAGTTGTCAATGGTATCTATATCTCAGCTCAGTTTTCTTCCTGTTTATATACAAGAAATCTTATGTAAATTTCTTAAAGTTTTTTTTTGCCTAAAATTTCTGATTAGTTTTAATACTTAATTAAAATACAAGCCCGAAAGCTGCGTATTAATAAATTATAATATTAATATTAAATATTTTGAAAATTAAAGTATACAAAAAAAAAATATCCATAATTATTTTCAAATTTTAACTCACATCAAATGCTATGTGACCCACTGTACAATGACTAACTGGCTGTGTAACAGACTCGGACGCCAACTGCTGCCGTGCTAGAAACATTATGTTGCACAGACTAAACATCAGGTATAATATACATGCAACTATAACCCTCTCTCTCTCTCCCTCTCCCTCTCTCTCTCTCGTTCTCTCTCTCTCTCTCTTTGTATCACTCTGCCCCCTTTCTCTCTAGCTGCTGTGAAAAACTGTTAAATGTTTTTAAATGTGAGAAAATAAAAGTGGAAAACTTGCTGCACTGGCTACCAGCTACTGCATGTTCATAGTTGGACCCGCCGGCACAATTATCACCTATCCGTCCTGCCCAACCCCCTCTCTCCCAGTCTCTGTCTCAGTTTGGTTGGGTTTTGGGTCTAGTTTTAAGTTTTGCCGAGTAACATGGGAGTGATTAAACAGTCGCACACACTGCGCTCGTAATACCCAGGATGATAGCATTGCATTGCCAGCTGCAGTTCAATGCACTTGCCGTGCAGCACAATGTCGGGCGATAAATATTGAAAATATAGATATATTCCATGCAAACATATACGCATGTAATCTTATTGTATATGCGAGCTTGTATACTTCGCAAACAGAATGACATATTGGCAATGGGTTTATTGAGACAAAAGCCGTGTAAAATTACAGATTAATTGTTATTATCGAGGCATATGCTGAAAAGGAGAGTCAGAGAGAGAGCGTGAGAGAGAGAGAGAGAGAGAGTAAGAGAGAGAGAGTGAGAGAGAGAGAGAGAGAGAGAGAGAAGGAAGGAAAGACAATGGAAAACAATGCGGAAGCTTTTCTTTAGCCACAGGCCATTGCATTGCATTTTCACTTTCCTGCTTTATGGCCAACCAGGTTGTTTCTGCTTTTTATTCCCACACGCTTTTCTCACTGCAATCTCAATTTCTTCTCCCCTCTTCCCTCCCCTGCTGTCCATGTGCATTTGTTGATTTTCACCCATGGCTCATGGTCTTTTGGTCTTTTGTGGGCTTTTTTGCTGCTTGCCGTTGGATTGAAGAGCTGTTTGCCAAGTCCATGAGCAACGCCTCACTCTATGATAAACACATCCGCTCTAGATACAAGCCAGGAATATTATTCCAATGTGACCCACTTGAGTAGCGAGAGAGCAACCATTTCAGATATGATACCAAGCTCTAACAGCCACTTGTTAGTCCGCTGAGAATGCACTCAATACTTGTGTTTTATAAATAGTATTTCTCAATCGGGTTAGATTTGACTTCATTTATACTCGAAATGACCCAATAAACTGGGTTGTGGTTGTCTGATAAATAGTTCTATCTAGTGCAGGAAATGCATAGGCAATTAGACAGGCATTTACATTTGATTAAAAACGAAAACCAATAAGTTACACAACAAATTAGATATACTCCGCAAAATATATGAATAATGAGCAAGAGATTCACATAATATTCCTACAGCATATAGCATTCGACATTGCCTAAATAGAGCCCACTCAGATTTAGAGTCTTTATATTATCTAAGTTTATAAAAGCAAAATAGCAAACTGTCGTTCATTCAATTCGAGCTACTTATTTACTGTTTAAAAATGCATCATAAAGTGAACAATTTGAATTGACTTTAAATGAATGGAAGCAGATTAATATGCTAATGAATGGCATACATTGAGACACCTGGCAAATAGCCATATAAAACTATAGAAACTAGAGCTGCAAAGTGAAACGTCAATACATACAAACATCGCAATCATTAAAATCGCCCTCTTAATCTACATTCTGCGATAGCAAATAAAAATAACAACATTTGAGTTCCCGACTTTTTCCCCCAACTGAAAAACTTTCACTTTTTGCCAAAAAAAAAAAAAAAAACAAAAGAGAGGAGAAACAGAAGTGGCTCAATGCTAAAAGTTTAACTGTCAATAGCAATTAAACGGGGCGCATGCCACGCCCCCCACACCTCCCCCGAAAAGACCAGAGCTCCAATATGTGTACATTTATGTATATGCAGATTGATGCCATTGCCAGGCTAAAGCTGAATGCAAGCTGCAGATGTTATTTTGGTTGAATGAAAAACTCGTTTTTCATGTCCATTTTCATTTCGCTTTTAGTCGCTGTCTGCTAAAGCCCTCCCCTAGCCTCCCTCCCCCCCTCCTTCAACCCCTAAAAAAAAGGAAGACCTACCAAAATTGCAATTGCAACTGCTATTACTTAGTAGGGGCATGCAGAGGGGGTGGCTGGGGGCAATCCTAAAGATACATACGAACGACACAATTCGCTTGCCAAAAAATCAGGACAACAATTACAATGGAAGCAGGAACCAAGCTGCTGCAGCCATGGCAAAGGGGGGGAGGGGGGCGTGTGTGGGCTGTGGGGCGGGGCTGGGTTGCAGGCACTGTCAACTTGATGTTCTTTGGAGAGCAAATAAAATGTTGCGAGAAGCAAATCTGCAGTGCGCCTGCGCCAGGGTTTCTGCTCTCGGGACTCGTGAGTTCCTGAGAGGCAAGCGCCAAAAATAACGTTGGGCAGAATATGATACCCTTTCCGAGGGTAGTTTAGCTCTGTCAATATACTAAATGAAACGGATTGAAGGAAATAATAATAGTAATAATCTAAATCATTACAAACAGCCTTTCATCCAATTTTCAGATTGCAAGTTATCCTAAGGAGGAGACAACTGCACATCTCTATCGCACCTGTCCAGCTCTATGCAAAGCTAGACTGCGTTGCCTAGAAACCTATTTTCTTTTAGAACTTGATAGTTGCCAGTTGCCAGCAATTGCAAGCACCTATCAGCAATAGCTTAACTACATCGGACTACTATATCATATGCATACCTGCTGTGGGAATAATGTTGTGTGTCGACATTCTGTTTATATGGCTGCAAGGGTATTTAATCTTCGGCTGCCCAAAGCTGTCCACAAATGCTCCGTTTTGTTTTTGCCCTTTGTTGCTGCTAACTGAATTTTGCTTTTCGCTGATGGCAATGACTCCTCAATGCAGTCAACTGGGTGCCAAGGGGTTACTCTAGCTGGGGAGTCTACGGGCTGGGCGGTTGGGGCCTTTGGCGCCGGCTTGCATTAACTGCACTTGATAAACGCGATTTGTGTGAGGAGGCGCGCGTTAATTTGTCTTCAGTTTTTGTTTTGTGATTCGCTTAATTAAAAGCCGAATCCCAATTTGGCGCCTGCTGCTGCTGCATCCTTCAGGAGCAGGACTCACTCGACTGGAGTGGAGCACAGCTGAGGAACGTTTGGTGGCAAGTGGCAAGTGGCAAGTGGCGCGGGCAGCAGAGGCAACAAGGGTCGCTCGCTTGCCGTTGGTCGCGTGCGTTTTTATTGATTTTTCCCGCAATGCGATGAGAAACGGCCTATTCTTGTTGTTGTTATTCTTGTTGTTTTATTAAACTTAAGTGTGCATGTTGTGTATTCATAAAGTTCCTGTTCCTATTACTGTTCCAGCCAGAGCCACAGAGGCAGACCGCGAGAGAGGTGTGGAGACCCTCCAAGTTGCGAACTTAGTTAGTTATGTGGGTTAGCCGCAGACCCGTAAACTGCACAAATTACTCAATGGCAGGAACTGGATTTCGAATTCCTTTGTTATTCACGCTTAATAGCTCGAATACCCCTATGCTTGAAGCGCGGCTGAGGAAGAGCCGAGGGCACAGCCTTAAACAGGACAAAGGAATAGTTTTTATGGGGTATATCAAGTGAAAGTGAACCACGTAAGGGCTGCGCACAGTCGCAATGACACTGGCTAAAGAAATACAAATATTTGATTGAACGATAAGAAGAAATCCATATAAACAAACTGTAAGATATGTACGAGCTGCAAACAAAGTTCTATATATATAATCAATATCTATGCATTAGCACGGTTATGTGAACTCCAAGTTGATCGAGTTGAAGCACAAGTGAGACGAGAGAGATCTCTGAAAATTATCAAATAAATGATAATAACCTTAAGGGAAATAAGTCTAATCTTCGGAAAGTGTCAAACATAGTGGCAATTATTTTGTACACTTATATCTTAAAATGAGTTTGAGGCAAAGCGAATGAAAGCATAAGAAAATACATATTTCAGCTGAAGAAATTATCTCACTCTTTCACGACTCACTCTACCAAAGATAGCTGCTGTGCTGTGCGCTTATCGTCAATCAGTCAATCGTACAGTCAATCATGACGGACTGTTTTTATATTTATAAATTAGTTACATATCATATAAAGTTATATTACTTTTCGCTGGAAAACACTTAATCTAATCTATTATCAAGGTTTTACTCTCTCACTCTCACACTCTTGCTGTCTCTGTCTATCTCTCTCTCTTTCACTCTCTCCCTTCAACTCTCTCTCAGTTCTTCAGGTTGAGTCTTATCAACAAGATTCCCTCCAAATACAACCTGCGCCTTATTTATCAACTTGCATATTTACGTATATATATTTTGCACCATATCAACCGGCTTTCATGTTCATGTGGACCACAAGCTCTGGAGTAACTGTAATTATGAAGGTCAGTTTTGGCTTACCTTAAAAAAGCGGCCGCTCGTGGGCATAAAATTTAATTTGAAAAAAATTAAATTTATATGCAATTTAATTGTTGTTTTCGTTTTGGCGTCTGCACTCAAGATGTCGTCGTCGTAGTAATAGTTGTTGTTGTTATTGTTGTTGCACCAACAGCTGTTTTGTGCCACACACACACACACACGCACACACACAGAGACACACACAAACTCAAATGCACACACAGCAGGTCGATTTCAGAGATACACACAGACACACAAGCGTTTGGCCGAGCACAAAACATAAATAAACAACAAATATTTGTTTGGTCGCGTATTTTCTTGAGTATTTTATTATTATTTTTATTTGACTTTTGCTTTATTTTATTTTCATTTATTTTGTAAAGCTGTTTTTTAATTTTCTTGGCGCATTTTTGTATATTTATGTAGTTGTTTTTGTTATTGTGCACACGCGCTTGGAATTTTTTTATGATATTTGGGCTTGAAAGTGCGCTACGAGTATCTGCGAGATACTTTGTTGACTATTCAGAGGCGACCTAGGCAGTTGGTTTTAGTTGTTCAGCTAAGGAAAACTCAATGCAACTGCTGTGCTGTGCTGTGGCTGTATTTCGTATGCATTAACTGACATTAACTAACTATTTACTCGGCAATCGTTGAAATATTTCTAACTAAATATCAAAGATACACAGTCCAAGACAGATACGCAGCGTGGAAGCGGCAGCAGCGCCAACCGAATTGCTATCCAACTCGTTGCAGATACGAAAACCAACTGAATCCACGGCGCACACAACACAAACTGAGAGCTGAGTCCGGCGACTCGACAAACGCCGAACCCCGAGCCCGTCGCTCCGAGCATGTTGCACGCCGAACGTCGCACGCCGAACGCAGGCGCCGCTCGTACACAGCGAGAGATTTACAGTCGTAACTCGCTTGATGCGAAACTGAAATGAACACCGATTTCTTTGAAGATTGTCAGTCAGCAATGCTTAAGAGATGTCGTTCGAGAAAGACATGTAATTAATAGAGCTCGTATTAGCCATCTAAAGAAATACAGAAAAACATAAACCAATAAATTAACCACTTTTTAATTTAAAGATCTAAGAGCAGACGGACAATGTTCTTAAAGAATCTTTAAAAGCACACAAAAATATAATCATAAGCTCCAATAATTTTTGAATACAGCTTAAAAAAACCTATGCCCATAATCGATATATATCGGTATTATGAAAATGGAAAAAGGTGGCGACAAACAAGTTCTCTAGCTTTTGCAGTTCCCGACGTGGTCAGATATGTTTAATAAAATATAGAGCAGGAAATATTGTCTGCTTTTATACAGGCTGCAAATTAGTATTACACTATGAAACATCAGAAAACTTTCTCGAGAGAGAAGCTTTTTTTTGAAAACCTCGATAACAAAGTGTTGCCAAGAACCAAGTCTTGAAAAACGCACACGTTTTCATAAATAACTTCGAAATGTAAGGGACAACATATATTTCAAGGCTCTAGTTTCGTAGTATTGTTTTATTCACATCTTATATATAATCAGGCTGCATTTGTATGGGAATTGCCATATCTAAAGCTACTAAATCATGAAGCTATACTAAGAACTAAAAAGAAACGTATGGATATGGAATGAAAATGGTTGCAAGCCCCATTTTTATGCACACGAGGTTTTACTGTAGGGACTTTGAGAGTGTGAGAAAGAGTGCGTGAGAGAGAAAAAGGGAGAGAGAGAAAAAAACATAGAGAGTGATTCGCTTAGTGGACTAATACGGCTTGTTTTAATTTCAGTTTCCATTTCTGTTTCCATTTCTGTTTCAATTTCTGTGTCTGTTTCGATTTCTGCTTGCCATCCTCACCACCAGCTGTGGCCGTGTGTCTGCACTTGGGGCTTAGGCTTTGTTATTTTTAGCGCCACTCGATTTGGTTTTACGAGGTGGGCACTGCCTGAGCCGTGCTGCGGGTTGGGCTGGTGCAATGCGTGTGGTGGCCGCATGTCACATGCCGGCGCGCATTGTCCACATTTTGTTGCTGTCGTCAAAGTCTTGCAATGTGACCGTCTCTCGGCAAATGCTGCTAATTGCAGGTGCCCTGCTCAACAGGCAGGTGGGTGGGTGGCTGTGTGGTCGTGTGGGTGTCGCCGTTGCAATTAGTGCAACTAATTAATAATATAGCATGCTAAGTAGATGCAGTTGCCAGTTCTGCCAGGCAGCTGCCACCACTTGTATCTGCCCATCGATCAATGCAAGATACTTGTGGGTGTGCTGTTGTGTACCTGTGCGTGTGTGTGTGTGTGTGTGTGCCACACTGATTGGATATTAATATATGGATACGTGAGCAAATTGTTTAGTATTGGGTCAGCTGCTTGAGTATCTATGGGCATTGACTGTGCAAAGGCCAATTTACATGCAGTTGCCAATCTCAGATGTGAATGCATTTCAAATAAGTTTATATTTAGAATAATGTATAATATAATTCCAAAGTCTGTGCATGCTATATAAATAACTCTGAATAGTAATTGAGTTGGCTTTAAGTTCACATTTATAGATTTGTTGCGAACTTTTAAAAAGTCAAAAGAGAGCTAAGATCGTGGAACTCGATTTTACTCAGATATTACCTTTCCACTAAGTACACGCCCGTGGAAAATTGAAATCTACCCATCTTGATCTTCCCTTCTATTTCAAGTGATGAATACATGCAAATCGTTTCACTTATGGCCAGGTTCTTAGTGCTTAAAAGTAAAAAGAATCAGATCTCTATTGTCTGATGCACCCATTTCGCATTTAGCTGGAAATCAAACTTTTGAGTCCCCCGCCTCTAGGCATGCCTATAAAAATAACTGCACACACACGGCAAACACACGCGTCACATGCCAATTTCTCTCTGGAAACATTTTGGAAATCTCAACGGAAGAAACCAACAACACGTGGCTCAGGTGTTTACAGCAGCTGCCCCGGGGGCAACAGCGAAAAGCGAGCATCATCAAACTTTGAGACTGCGCCGCGTGACGCAATTTCAAGACCGATTTCTCAAACCTACAAATCTGCCAAAAGAGCTGTCAAAACAGGTACAAATACAAATGCGAAAACAAATACAAGCGCGAGTGCAAAAATGCAGCTGATATGCGGCGGGCGCGCGTTTGAGTTAATGAGCCGTTGACTGACTGCGTCGCGGGTTCAATGGCCACAATTGAGTCACAATATGCATAGAATAGCGCCAGGCGGGAGGCAGAGCATCCCATAGCCAAACATTTGCATACAAATGTTCAGATGGCAAGAGAGTGCTACACGCAGTTGAGAGTGCTCGACTGGTAAATACCCTGGAATCACTTGCGCCAAGTTAACTCAGTCTTAATAATCAATTCTCACATGATTTTAAGCAAATCTCTGAAGTTATCGAAAAAGCAGAGACAAATGTATATTTGATGAGGTCAGAGTTGTCTTCTTCTGTCTGTTACAAACATTTGTAAGTGCAACATACCCATTTTACTCATTTCCAATGGGTATACAAATACAGGAATGAGCATTGACAGGCAGCAGACGACAACAAAGACAAACGGCAAAGGCAAAAGGCAAAAGGCCAGGCAACTGGCCATGACTGACACCCCGGCAAGAAGTAGCCGTTGATCCTGATGATGATGAGGCCAAAGGGACTCAGTCAGACCGACGCTTGCCCCTGTGCCCGTCTGTCCGTCTGGCTGTTTGTCTAACTAACTGAGGCATGAGAAATCGCATGCAATACAAATTAAGCAAATGTTTGATGAAATTTGACTGCGGGCAATTGGAATTGAAACTGGTGCTGGAATTGGAGTTGGATTTGCAGTTGGAGATGGAGATGGTGGCCTGCACCTGCGGCAACTGGCAGCCGTGCTATAGCCGCAAAATCCACAGCAACACGATAAACTCTTCTGATATGTTTGCCGCAGCTGTTGCCGCCAGCATGTATTTTGCTGTCATTTGGCCAAAGCAGATGCAGTTGAATGGAGAGAGCCAGATAGAAGTACATGTATGCAAATACAGATGCGGATACGTACCCCATATGGATAGCTCGGCTTTCAGAGCTATGCTGTTGTTCATTTTGCTCGTTTGATGCAGAGGTTGCTGTGGCACAGGTCGAATCCGTTTCATTGGCTGCCCATTGCCACTTTGCTGACAGCCCTTCGACAATTTGGGCAATGGCTCTGGCCGGGCGATGCATCATGAGTTATGAGTGCACTCACAAAAGACTATTTAGTCAGTCAAATGGCTGAAAAGCAAACAGAGATGTCAAGTTGATGAACTTTAAGGAACATTCGACTGGTTTTTACACTTTACATTTAAGTAATACACATCCTTAAACCCACCTATTTAATTAACCTCGATCTTTGCAAATAGAGCGGCTGTTTGATAACTATATTTCACTTTATATTAAATTTTGTATTAATCTAACTCCAAGTACTTTAAGGCCGCCAAAATCCACATAGCCATAAGCTAATTGCTACAACACTGCACAAGTCTCTTCATTAATTAACATAACGAATAACGCGCTTAACGAATTCTTGCAATTGCTATTGCTTGCTATACTGCAAGCGTAGCTATTTTATCTCACTCGAATATTAAACGATAGGCGTTAGTGTACCTGCTTAACGAAAAACGCGCTGACCGAATTTTACGAAATTTTCTCACTTAACGAACAGCTCACTTAACGAATTGCTCACTTAACGAACTGCTCACTTGACGACGCGCCACGCGCACTTAGCGGACACTGCAAATTCTCTTGCAGAAACAAAACATGCTCACTTCTCGTGCACATGGTGCAATATTGACTGCCGCCACTCACGCCACGAACTATACGCTACGGAGACATTACACAGTGCACAAATTTACAATTATTTCATTAAAATAACTCAGTTTTTTCAATTTTACACGTTTTGTCACACGCGTTGCGGTTTGTATGCCTCGGAACTACACTGCTCACTTAACGAATTGCTCACTTAACGAATGGCGGCGGCAGCTTTAGCGCAGATACATACCCGCGGCTGCAACATATTCGAGACACACACCTTCCTGTAGAGACAACTATCGCATGCCGCCACAACTTATCGAACTAAGCGATAACATAAAAGTTAGATATGTACATATTCAAATATATAATTTAACGTACCTTACATATCGCTCTGAAAACATAGATATTTTAGTTGGATTTTACTTTAAACCACCTGCAATCACTATTTAATGAATAATCTCATTTAACTTTTTATTTAATAACCTTTACTAATTATATGCATAACTTAGTCAATATTTTCTGTTTCTTGTGTTTAATTATAATTTAAAATATTTGTTGAGCTTATAAATTATTAAAACTATGCGCGGAAAAATGAGTCACTTGCCAAAACGAGAATCGTTTGGTTCATTTACAAATTCAAATACAAAAACTGATTAATTGAAGGGTATATCTCTGCCCCCAACATTATGTTTACCGTAATGTTTGCACTACACTTGCACATCGACCTCTATAAATATATATGTATACATATATATGGGTATGCATGATTTTATTCGAAATGATTCGTGAGTCAATCAACAACTACTCGTATGTAATTCATGAGTTTCGATTGAGTGCATTGAATTTGCCGGAATGCAATACGATCTATACAGTTACAAATTGCCTAGAGGAGTACGCTTAGACTACAACTAAATAATTGCCGCTGGTTCATAGAATAACATTAAAAATTTTGGTACAGTCATCGTTAATATATATATATATATATATATATATATCCATAGATCAATACTACTAATTTATGTTGTTGCGTTACAAATGATTTTTTTCGTTTTGTTCTTTTTTTTTTTTGTTTTTGTAATGTTTTTGCTAATTGTTTCCAGTTGCGGCGATGAATATCGGCATATCGTTTGGGCCAGCAACTGAACTGAATACCCCTAATGCTGATTGGTTTTGGTTATGTTTGCGTCGTATTTACAGATTTCACTTAATTATAGCTTGCCGTAAACTTGGTTTTGATTATATACTTGCTGAATTACACATACTTACATACATACATAATACAATCAATTAATAATTAATATAATTAATAATAATTAAATTAGGTTAAGTGCTCGGTTTTACGTTTAAAGATTTCTTGTATTGCCTCAAATGCTTTGTAAGCTTTGTCATATTCAGTTACTTAGCTTAAAATTAATAATAATTAAGCCCAAACTAAAAACACGAAATTATAATTGGGAATAGGAACTAAAAGCACCAGCAAAATATACAAAAACTAAAGAAACATAAACTATATATACTAAAGTGTTAATCATAAATCAAATATTGTCTTGAGTGCATGAACTAAATGATCATTCAATTATTCGCTTAATTACATTAATTAAATCATTTACAAACATATTGCAATCGGTTTTCACAGTCGGAAAATGCTTTCGCTTGGCCAGAGTTATGTGCGCAGCGGAGGCGGCAGCGCGGGGCGTGCCGAGGGCGGCTGCGACGCTGACCCCGCTCCCCCTGCCGCTGTTGTCGCACCCGGCGGATGGAGCTGCATGTGAACACGCTTGGCCCGGTAGCGCTTCAGCTTGCGGCGCGCCATGAACAGGCTCGGGTTGAAGTTAAAGTCGCGACAGCCGTGGTGCGGGGGCGGCGGCGGCGGGGGCGGGGGCGGGGACGAGTGCGAGTGCGAGTGCGCAGCTGCAGCCGCATCCAGCTCGTAGGGCGGGAAGAACATTGGGTTGGCAGCCCAATCCCGCCACATATTTCAATCCTGCGCCCCGCCATTCGCCTGCGCCAGCGTCGACCCATTGCTGGACAGCTCGCTGTGGCGGCGCTGCTCGAGGGCCAGCGGCAGGCCGGCGGCGAAGTCATCGTCCAGCGAGGAGGACTGCTTGGAGCCCACCGATTTGCAGTCCTCGTCCATGCTGACGCCCAGATGGTGCATGGCCACGGCCGCATGGTGGCGCTCCGCCGGCGGCAGCAGGTTCAGCATGCTGAGCGGCAGGCCCGGAAAGCCGCCGGCAAAGTCCGGATAGAAGCCTTGCGGATTGAAGGGATTGAACAGTGCATTGGGTCCGCCCAGCATATCTGGCTCGGAGCTGCCGCTGCGCGGACCAGCGGGCGGACCCAGCGGCAGGCCCAGCTCCAAGTCGAGCGGACCCAGTCCAGCTAAATCGCTGGGATGTGGCATGGCCGGCGGACCACCACCACCACCGCCACCGCCACCACCAGCACCACCATTGCCATTGCCGTTGCCACCGGAGGAGCCATTATTGGAGCCCGAATTGGCATTGGCATTCTTGTCCTTGTCCTTCTCCTTGCGCTCCTTCTTCTCGCTTTTGGAGCCGCCGCCGCCGCTGATGCCCATCTGCAGCATCTCGATAGGCGGCCCGCTGATGCAGTCCTTGCGCAGCTGCTCCAGCTTCAGACTTTTGCCATACTTGCCGCGCACGTACATGAGGAGCGAGTTGTAGGGTATGCCAAAGATGCGCGAGGCCTGCGACGTGGTCATCTTCTTGTTCCACACGTGTTGCAGTGCCTCCGTTAGCTCCGTGTTGGTCCACGAGCGCGGCGGACCGCCGCGTGGCGCCGAATGCTGTCCCTTGGGGCGTGGCACTGCAAGGAGAGAAAGAGAGAGATTGATTAGTGCTGTGGCAAAGGCACCTGAGCTACTTTTGGAGCTCCACTGTAGTCTTCATCGGGTTATCTGGCGGCGACCATCTGCTAATGTTTCAATCTACGTGGCCCATATGCGGCTTAGACAATTTCGCTGAAAGATTTGCCCATTGTCTGCAGTTGCCTACAGCTCATACACACCCTGTTGTGCCTGTCGCTATACCCTGTACGCATTTAGAGTGGCCAAAAGGAGTATAATGAAGACTGAAACACAGAAGGTACATTAAATCTCATTCTAAAACTCTCATGTCTGGCCATAGCCAATTCCTTCTCTGAGACTTTAGGATCGACAAGTCGAAACCGATAAATATCGATTACAATTTTAAAGTCTAGTCATATTCGATTCTTACTCACAGACTATAAGAGCTGGAATAGCTGCAATTGCGCGAAATCGACAAATTTCGAATACAGACTTCATTGCTTGAGTTCATCTCAGGGATTATAAGAGCTAGACACCAAATGTGGAATGTTCTTTTAGGAATATTTTACTCTTTTAAAACCTACGCTATTCTGCTCATAGACAAACATTTTTTAAAACATATATTCTTGATTTTTTGTATGCATATATGAAGTATTAAGTACCATTTTAGAGCCCCCATAGTTTTGATGTAATCGCACAATAAACATTTAAAGTTATTAAAAATACATTTTTTTATAGAGCTTAGGATATCTATTGGTCGGGCACACTTCGTAGAGCAATAGCTGGTTGTTGCTGCAGTTGTTGTTGTTCCATGTGGCACCTTAAAAAGCGAACGCTGCGGTGGTTCCCATACCCGAAGCCTGAGCTCGAGCCAGTGCCTCGCCCGACCTTCCATATGCAAATTACGAGCATGGAGCCTCGTCACATGCGCCGCTAAAACTCAATTTAGATCCAAAGATATCGACCTGCCCCACAACGAGAGAGTTGCTGCCACAGGTTCAGCTGGCCCGATCAGCCGATCGGCAACAAACAACAACAACAACTTTGGGTTGGAGACAACAACGAGCTGGATAAAGCTCTTGGGGGCGACCATGTCGAATCTCTGCTCTTGGCCCAGTGCGATAATTTACAGTTTATTGCACAGCTTTTCTTTTGCCTTTTGCCTGATAATATGAAATTTTCTTGCCGAATGTGGCCGATAGCAAGATTTTCTTTAAATGAAAATAAATGTGCCTCGAAATATATTTTAGACGGAAAGTATGAAGGCTGAGACTTACAAATAAGTTGATGTTGAAAAATATTGTAGATAGATGTTTCCGAGGAATGTTTCACATTGAAAAACTAAGCATAATTTAATTTAATATTAATAAGGTAGAGGATACTTTAATCTTAAATAAGGAACTCAACGTTAAACCCTGCATTAATAAAGGCTTAGAAATTATTTGTAATTTATTATTTACAATTCTCTGTTCGATTTAGAACTTCAATAAGTAAATGTATCTGAGAAGGATCCTTTTAATAAAATTAGTGAATAATAAAGTGAATAATGGAATGCCGAAAGCATTGATAAATCAAAGAAAACAAAACAAATGGTTTAGCTACAAAAACAACTTGAACCAAAGCTGACCGAGTTCCGACATATTCATCCTCAAAGGAATGGAAAAAAACGTTATAGAAATAAACTGGAATATTCTCTTCATATTCCAAAATTAAACTGTTTTCTATTTAAGTAAAAACTTGAATTGTGCCTGAAGTAGCTGGACCCTTGCGCATAGTAGAGCCAGCTTGTTGGTTCTAATCGCATTTAAGTACCATTTCTTATATAACACAATTGTTATTTGTTTTGTGCTTGTTGTTTCTGCCGTTGACACAATTTATATAAGCACAAGGGTCAAAACGTAGGTCCGACCTTTTATTCCGATGAAATGCAACAAGAACAAGAGGCACAATCCTAGTGCAAAAATGCAATTGTTGAGGCTCTCGAGCTGTTGTTGTTGTTGTTGTTGACGTTGTTATTGTTGGGTTCTAATAAGGCACCTCTGCAGTCTGCAGACAACCCGCTTGTGTCTAGACCCCGCCACGCCCCACCTCGCAACCGACAAAATGAAATTTGAATTTGTTACAAATCGCAAATCACGTTTTCAGACACAAACGACTGACTGCAGAGAGAGGCAGAGGCAGTGACTGCGACAGAGGTAGAGGGAGAGAGAGAGAGAGAGAGTTGAGAGAAGCGAAAGAAAAAAACAATCGAAAAATGAACAAATGAATGTGAACAAATCAGTTAATCACACCCACACGAATACCACGAATGCATAGGCCCTAGAAATGTGATAGCCCCCCTACCCCCTGCCTGAGGCATAGCCCATGCACCGTTGCCGGCTTGAGCCAAGTGCTTGATTCTTATCAAAGCTGGCCAAAAAATAAAAAAAGCTGAACAAAACCCGTTTGCCAGATTCGCAATAAAGAATATCGTGCTATACGCCAGATTTGCGCTTTTTAGCACAGTTTTATTTACTGTTTCACATTGTTGTAATTTAAACAGCGATTGTCATGGTCGGGATGAGTCGTAGGAGTCTCCGGGCTCCGAGATGAGCTGCCCGAAGATCGGCTCAGATACGAGCTCTGTTGTGGCATTTCGCTTTTGGCATGCCAAACATCTGATCACGACTCGCTGTAACTGCGGCTATTGATGAGAAAATTAAGCAATTAAATGTGATCGGGTTGAAAGTGTGTGCGAAATGAAGTGGAAAGATCAGCCAGATTTCAGCATGAACTACAGATCGCTATAAATGTAAGGCAAGTAGATCAAAACCAAAGCTCAAACTGGCCAAGAACCGAAGCGGCTCGAGCCTGAGATTTACATCAAGCCAGCGCATCAGCTCAAGCCTGACAAACTTTTTAGATTATTCAAAATTCATTCATATCTTCCAACTCCAAACATCTAAGCTCAAAGGTTCAAGCTCCCAAGCGAACCGGCAACAATTTTATTTCGAGTTTGTAATCCCACCAAATCTCTCTACATTTCACTTAGCCCTGCAGCCTGGCGCCTCCTGACTTTAAGAGTTCATTCCGGGGATCACTTGAGCTCGAAGCCAATCTTTCATTCATAAAAGCTCTGGCCAAGCACTTAACCCATCAACGCGAGGCCAACTGTCAAATAAGCTGTCAAAACGCGTTGCTCACATGGCTCAAACCGTAAGCTAACAATCATCGAGCAACTTCCCTCTTCTCCCACTCCCCTCGCGCTCTTTGTGCACTCATTGTCAATCACATGACAATCAAGGAAATAGATAATTGATTTCTGAACCACATTTTGTATATATTATAGATATACATTATTTCCCCACACACAGAAAAACTTCATTAACTTTCTGAGGTTTCACTTGCATTTGAAATAAAAAAAAAACGACTGCGTTTATGGAGCTGACTATTTGTCAATCAAGAGCTGTACAGGTTGAGAGCGTAAAAAAAAACGACGTTTACGATATGCATAGGTGCACATGTTGATCCATTGAAGAAACAAACAACGCTCCGAAGTGCCAGCCCAGTTGAGTTGCACAGGAAAACCACAAAAACAAATTTGCCGCCTCACATGATCGCACGAGTGATCGCGTCTCGACTGATCAAGAGTGCTGCTGAATGTGAAGGGCAGGGCTGCAAGGAGGGTAGAATGCTAAAAGGAAATGAGCACGCATTGCAATTCAGTGTGCTTTTTTTCGGCCTGTGTTGAAACCTGACAAAGAGGGAGATCAGCAATCAACGATCATTCGATTTTTGCTGGGAATATCAAGGTTTATCAACAGATCACTTACAGAAAGATCTTGTAAGCAAAAAAATCTGCTCTACGTTGATACAGATCTTCCATTGATATTTACTGATCTACGATTCGATCGAGTATTAATCGCGATTTTCAGCTGATCACAGCTGATCTTCTGAGCAGTCAAATTGCTCATCAATAATTATTTTATTTAACTTTAAGTTAAACTAAAAAATGTGCTGATCATCGATCGTAGGAGTATTTAGGTAATCTTGAAATAAGGATCGGATTAGTTTTAGAGATCACTTTAATCTATACAAGACCATAGCAATTGCAATTTGCAGCTAATATTCCATACCTCCATCACAACTGCATTAATAGCGATCCATAACTAATATACCCCAGCGATCACAATTGATCTTTCATCTAACCTTATGGCAACTGATATTTACCGATCGCCGATCTAAGGCTAAAGACCAGACACCTAGTAAAGTGTTTGTTGCTATTGCCCAAGCTTGGCGACGTGATCAAAAGTGCAGAAACTTTTGGCTGAACACAGTAAAAAGAAAAACCATCAGCGAGAGATCAATCAGTCAGGTGTGAAGTAAGGCACGAAACGGCATAAGGTATAAGGTATTGTATAAGGTTTTGAGGGAGACGCCGGCAACGGCGGCAGCGACTGCAAAGTGATCGACATGGCAATCATGTTGAATGGATTTTCAACCTTTCTCGTTGTATGATTTCATTTTTCTTCAGCTTCTGCTTTTGTTTTTGTTGGGTTCGAAGTTAGCGCTCAGAGGTTAATTAGCTGTTTGTTTTTCACGTACTACGCGAGATGTGGAGGGGCTTTTTTTATGGCTACTTACTTTTCTTTTTGAGAAACGGCGGCGGTCCGCCGGGCATATCGCGTGGATCGCTCATTTCCATTAGCGGATTGTAGAGTTTTCCAGGATCAATGCCGGGCGGAAATAGGCCAAGCGGCGAGTCCAGGCCAAACACTGTGGAGCAGAGAGAAAAGAAATGATGATAGGTTAGCAAATCGTTACTTAAATCAAGCTCAAGTCTTTGGCTCATCAGCTCTGATATCTGTTATAAGAAATATTTAACGAGCCAAACTTGCTTATTTATAAGTTGCCTACAATTTGCCTCTATATAAAACTTATTGCAATTGCAAATGTTTCCATAAGCGACTCATTTTCCAGCTCAGTGAATGCCCCACTAACAATGGGATAGACACGAACACGAGCACGTACTTCCGAGACGGGCAGACCCCAAGACTATGCCAATTGCGAGTGCATCTGGGCTCCAGAAGTGGATGTGGATGGTAAACAATGGAACGTCATTATTCTATTAATAATTTACGCTTCGAGTGCACTTCTTCACATGAGTGAAACAATTGAAGCGCTGATGAGGCGGCGACAACGGGGAAGACACTGAAAAGGATCTAAAGGATGTGCACAGAAAGCCAAAGAAGGTGGGTCTATTTATGTGTGTGTGTGTGTGTGTGTGTGTGTGTGTGTGTGTGGATGAGGGATAACGCATAACATTGACATTGTGCTGAATGATTTCATAAGTACGCGACTGCGAAGACGAAACACAGCCACACACACGCACATTGTAGTCGCATATGATTAAATGTGGGCGGGTAGGGGAAATATACATATTTGTATCTGTATCTAAAGACTGTGTATCTGCTGCATAATGACACAAATAACGAGCGCGCATTGTTTGCGACGCGCTCTGCTCGAGTATTCAAGACATTACAACACGCTGCGTATACGTAATATGCGTTTCTTTCGCGTTTTCTCCACCTCCTCTTCATGTCCTTCTCAGAATCAAAGCAAGTCTCTGCTTTGCCTGGTGAAATTAGTGCGGATTTCTTTTCACGTCTTTTCTCAAGGGTTCTAGAACAAGACAGCCATTGACTTGTACACACACACACATACCTTCACGTCACATGCTATTAGTTCAATGATTTTCACGCCGAAATACGACTCGCAAAAAATAAATCACATTCTTCATACGGCAAAACGTTGGTAAATCTTTTTCTGCGGCTGTCTGCAACGCTTCTGTTTGCCCACAGAGAGAGTGAGTGTAGGGTAAACAAAGAAGGGTATAAGGACTATGTGAAGGGTAATGTAAAATACTCATAAATTGAGAACTAGACGATTCACGAAACATTAATAATATACATTTGTTGAGTTGAGGCTTGTCAAAGTAAATACTACAAAAAGGGATTATTTGAGAGAGAATTTAGGAATCCAAAGAACAAACGGATTAAAAAGCTGTTCGCTGTACGTCTGTGATAATTTACAACTTCATAAAAGTAGGAAATAACTATATATATCTAAAAGATATTAGGAAAATTCTTCGATTTATCTATACTTTTCTCAAGTACTTGGGTTTGCTTCCCTTTCTCTATTCTTTAAAGCTTAAAATATATCGTTCTCATCATAAGACATTTCTTAGGTAAGAGCAAATTTTAGTCGACCTGCTTTCTGTGGAATACTTCCTTTTGCATTTCTTTGCCAAGTCGAGGCTTCTTGCTTGTATCCTTGGCTGGCTTTCATTGCCTGCAGCCTGTTTATGCAGTAGTTAGCGAGCTGGTCGTATGACCCCCCCTCGCTTGGGATGGTGCACACCCACCCCCTACCCCTAACTCAACCATCTTCCTCTCATAGCTTTGCATTGCCCTGATATGTTGGCTGAAATTTTTGTCGCATTAAAAGGTATTGCGCTTCCTGCGACTCGGTATTTTCGTACAATTTTTCATATTTTTGTATTTTTGTGCCTTAATTTATTTTATATCCTGTGTGCGCGTCGCGCCTGACAGAGACCGAGTTTGAGGTCTGCATTTGGAGCTGGGGCAAAAGGGGGGCTGGACTCCCCAAACGGATATTATTAATATGAATATCGCGCGACTTATATGCAAAGTTTTATACGAAAAGGGAAGCGACGACGAGAACGAGCAGAAGCATGACGAGGACTGCGAGGAATCAGGACTCAGGTCTCGACACACAGGACTCTGTATTTTTATTTATGCCGCCGCCGCCGACGCTGCCAAAGTTGTTTGCCAAAAGGTTTAAGTCGCTGCAGCACCGTGTGGCATACTTTAAACACAAACACAACGTGCAACACACACCCTGTCGAGGGGGAGGAGGCGTGGCAGTTGGCTGTGTGCTGTTTGGCAACTTAAAAGTCATTTCGCTAAACGTCTGCCGACAGTTTGAACTCGCAGCGACTGAGAGAATTGCAAGCACACACATAAACACACACATTGCTTCACATGTTGCCAAAGACACAACATAAATTTCTAGCGCTCTGCACGCAATGTACAGCCCCTTCTCAGCACTCCCCTTTTGCACCTCACTTTCTGCCTCGGGTGACATAAATATACAAAAAATCATATATAAACCGCAATTGAATTTATTTCGACTGCAACTCCAACTTGCAACTTTGCACCAACCGCAAATGCAGCGCCCAGGCTTGGCACAACGCCCCAACCACCGCCTTGTCGCTGGCAAACTTGCTGAGTTGGAGACAGGAGCGTAGGAAGGGGGCGGGGGGAAGGGTTGCAATAACTAAACTGTCAAATTATTAGAGGCGCACTTGCAGCTCAGTTTGTCACATTTCAGTTTTCAGTTCATTTCAATATATCTTATGAGCTGTCAACTAGCAAAAATTGTTTATGACTTAATTAGGAATGAAAAAGAATGGTGGATGGGGGAGAGGTAGCTTGAAAGGGGCTTGAGTGGGTAATAGCTTTAAGCCGCAGCGCATAACTTTGTGACTAAATGTGAATATATGAAGACATACTTTGAAATTGCAGGTATGTTGGGCACAACGAGTAAGAGAATCGGGGAGAGGGGTCGTATAAACATATATGTGGATTGAGGTAAAATAGACTAAAGAAAAAGGAGATAGGACATGAAAATATATGTAGACGTGAGAAAAAATAGACGTAATGAAAAAGGAGATAGAATTAATAAGAAGACTAAAGCTGAACAGCAAACGGGGTAATTACGATCGACTCTACAATTGATAAAAGCTAAGCTAGTGTGAGAATCGCAGAGAAAGGTCATTTGCAATTATATTTGCTAAAGAAAAGAAGGAAATCATTAGATTATATACAGCTGATATGGTTCAATATTTAAGGGAAGACTATCAATGCATTTTATGCAGAATGGAGAAGTTTTTCGTTTGAAGAAAACTGTTGAAATTGAGCTTATCTATTTATATTGGTCAACCCAATGTAATCCTATATATGCATTATACTGCATACCTTCTTTGGAACTTGTTGCTGCAGAATATTTTCCATAAATGTCCATAAAAGCGCAAAAAGTTGAAGACAGCGAAAAAATACGAATAAGGCAGTTGGAGAGTGTGAATACCCACTCGGGGGCGACCCTAATGCGTTTAAAGGCTTTGCGACAGCTTTGGCCATGGCAACGACTGCAGGAACTCAGCAAAAAGGATGCTTATGCAGTCGGTACCACTTTGATGTCGCCGGCAAAGCGACAGGAACGGAGAGAGGGCTAGGCAGGGTGGAAGGGACAGAGACGGAGACAACGACAGTGGCCACATGTTGCATGCCGAGTGGCTGGCACGCTGTGGGGCCAGGGACATGCGAGCTTATTAAAAGTGAAGTCGCTTGAGCGTACGTGCGCCAAAGAGTCACAGAGTCAAGGAGTCCAAATAGGGACGGAGGAGGAGGACCTGAGCAAACGGGAGCTGCCTGCAGGGACCCCGTTTATTAGGACTTCCGCTTGTTTTTATTTTTTGCAAGCTCTTTGGTGGAGCAAAATTTGTTTAGGACAGCAACAGGATGTGCAGGATGTGAAGCCTAACCCAGTGACCTCGCTAGGATAACGCGTTTTCTACTTACTGTGCGGCGGCGTTAGCGTTAACGCCGAGGACATGCCGGGAAAGGGCAGTGGCGACGGCGGATGCGGCTGTCCGTCCTGTGGATTATAGTGGCCAGGCAGGCTCATGGGCGAGGTGGGTGCGAACTCCTTGCAAAAGTCTTTGCCAAAGTCTTTGCCAAACTCCTTGCCAAACTCCTTGCTGAACTCTTTGCCAAACTCCTTGCTCAGCCGATTCATGCTCTCCTCGAGCCGCTCGTGCGGGGCCTGACCCGGACAGCCCGGACCCGGCGCTCCGTTGTGTCCTCCGAAGGGCGGCAGTCCCATGGGCCCCAGCAGATTACTGGCGAATGCATTGTGTTCCCGCTGCAGCGCCTGCTCCCGACTCTCTCGGAGATCGCGTGGCTCACGCTGGTGCATGGCTGCCGCTGCGGCGGCCGCGGCCAGCGACATTTCCATTTGGTGTTCCATGTGATGAAACGGATTCTCGCCGGCGCCTGCTGCGGCTACGGCGGCAGCGGCCGCGGCGTGCATTTGCGCTTCCAGCGCCTCCATGTGGCAGGGCGGGCTGTCGGGCAGGCCGGGCGGACGCATACCTGGCGGCGGGAAGGACATGAGCCCATTGTTGCCCGGCGCACAGCTGCTGTTCGGCGTGTGGCTGGGCGTCGATGTGGCGCTGGGCTTGGCGTTCAGCTGTCTGATGTCCTTCAGGGACAACATGATGCGTTGGTTGTTGTCCTGCAGCTTGCTGCTGTTATTGTTGTTGTTGTTGTTGTTGCTCTCGCCATCCGAGGAGTGCGCGTGGCTGGTATCCTGCTTGTCCTTTTTGGTGGTGCACAGATCCTCGGGCCCATCGCTGGGACAGGGCGACATGGCAGCCGCATTGGCGGCGGCCACTGCCGCCTGTCGCCGCAACTCGTTGGTCGTATGTATAAGCTCTTCAATGTCCTGCTCCTCGTCCTCGTCCTCATCTGGATCTTGATCATGTTCGTGAACTTGATCGTGTTCGTGTTCATGCTCATGCTCCTCCTGCTCGTGCTCGTGCTCGTGCTCCCGCTCCTGATCCTCGTCCTCTTCCTCATCGAGCTCCTGTTCTGCCTGCTGATTGCTGCTGCCGGGCGTGATAAGGGGTAACGCGCGCTCCTGCTGCGGCTCCCTGTGCCCGCCCGACTCTCGCTGCTCGACTTCATCTTCGGGCTCATTTGTTTGCTGGGACTGTTGCTCATCCTGCTCCATGGGGCTGGCCTCGTCCACTGTAGAACGCTTTTCGCTCTGCTCCTGTTCCGGCTCCTGCTCCTCCCGCAGCTCATGTTTGATCACAGTTTGCAGCGCCGCCGTCTCCGAAGTCTCCGGCTTGTTGAGCCCAAAGTCGTGTGGAACATCGCCCGAGCGTCGCCGTGGACGAGCCTGCTTGCGTCGCGGCATGGGTGAACTGCCGCCCAGCTCCTGATCGCTCTCCGGCTCCCGATCGCACTCTTGTTCCCGCTTGCGGCGCAGACTGAGCGCCGCCATGGCGCTAGCCGGATTGCCAAAGAGCCGGCTGGGCATGATCAGCTTGCCAGACGCTGGCCTGACCATCGAGGGCGACTCGTCCTCGTAGCTGGAGGACAGCAGCGACGAGGCGTCCAGCATGTTGAAGTCGTCGGGCGAGGCCGCCGGAGTGGGCGTGTGCTCCGGCACGGAGCTCTCGACAAGGCCGCGCACCTGCAGCGACTCGCCCGCTTGGATGAGCGTCTGGAGGCGCTGCTGGGGCACGCTGATCTCGCCGCGGTACATGAAGTCCACAATGGCCTGAACGACCCAGCCGCGAAAGTCCTTCAGCACGATCACCGGATGCTTGCAGGGCGTCTCGGCGAAGACGCGCTGGAAGAACGGCGAGCAGGCGGACAGAACCATTTTGTGCGCCCGTATTGAGGTCTCCGCGCAGACGAGGGTCACATCCACCAGGGTCTTGGTCTGCAACAGGGCGTCGAAGGCGCGCAATATGTGATTCTGATGGTTGTTCCAGCGCAGGCTATAATGATCCTGTGTGGCCGCTAGAGCGGCACTAATCGCTGTGGGCGTGGCAGGTGGACTGTGCGTTGTCGTGGCCGCCACCGCCGCCGCGGCCGCCGCTGCGGCTGCTGTTGTGGCCGTTGTGGTTGCCGTTGTGGTCGCCGCTTGGCTCATGTTCAGCGGCAGCGCTGGCGGCGTGGGCGGCGTTGTGGGCGGTGTTGTGTGCATTGATCCATGGGCGTGGCTGTGCGTCGAAGGCGCCGGCATTGGCAGCGGCAGTGGCATCGGCATTGCCATCTGATGATGCGTATGATGCTGATGATGATCCGCGCCCGCTCCGGTCGTGCCCGTGCCCGTGCCCATGCCCGGAGGCGTTGTGGGCGGCTTTGCTAGCAGCGGCAACGCAAGCGGCGCTGGCGCCACCTGGCGGCCGAACTCGTTCATATGCAGCGCCAACGGCAGCGACGTCAGTTTGCAGCGTTTTATCAGCTCCTCGGCGTCCTTTAACATGCCCCGCACACCTACAGCTGCGCTCAGCCCCAAAAGTCACGTGTCGCACCTCAAAGCTGCTGCAAGACGCTAGATAGCTGCAAAGAATAAGAAGAAAGATGTAGGTAAGAGGCGAATGTGCAAAAGATTAGTCATAATGCGTTGCATAATGTATTCGGATTTGCTACACTGAGCGAAACTTTGGGACAGAAGTTACTTAAAGTACACTTTTTGCTTAAATGAATTTAATGTTTGTGCTAAGAGAAGAAAAGCTGCATACTTAAATTGAACGTAAAACATTCCAACGAGCAAAATTTCTTTAATTGACGTATATTTTTCTCCGAGTGTACTCGGGTACTCGTGACATATGCCATGTCGTGTATGTGTTGTGATAATATGTTAATGAGTCGCGGCATATATCATCTTTTCTCCGCCCTATGCCTCACATTTTCGGTAAATCCCAAGCACAACAAAAGCCAAAACAATGCACAGCAAAAGCTAACAAGAACAACAACAAAATAAACAGATGAGAACAAGAAGAAGACGGGCAAACGCACATGAAGCAATCAGAGTCGGGTACGTGTCGTGTCGCATATCCTTGAGGATATCACATGCAGATGTGTGATGTGTGATAATGGCTCACTGCTCGCCTAACCCTGCCCCCTGCCCCCTGTCCCTGCCCCTGCCACCAGCCCCTCTCCACAGTCTGCCTGCTTGCAGCTTTGCCCGTCTGACTGGCTGTCTCACTGTCTATCGTTCTGCGCGCCTCTGTCGCCGACTGTGTTTTTGTTTATCTAAGCCGCACACACACAGACTCACGCACAGTGGAAATTATGATTAAAATATAGGGTAAAATTTAAAGAAATCTGATGATGAGTACTCAGATTTAAGGAATGTTGCATGAAAGAGCCCCAATATATTTTTATTTCTCATGTTGTCAATAAAAACAGATGCTTCGTTATTTGAATTTAAGGCTAAAAATACAATTAATCGATATACACATACAAATAAATCGCGACTATAACATATATATATGTATATATCTCCATATATATATCCATATATAATATATATTCCAATTTTAGACACACACTCTTCAGTTTTTGTTAATATATTTTTTTAAATAAAACGCTTTTTGAATTTCGAATATGTTCCCGTGGTGAATCATTAAATTTGACCATTAATATGCGGAGGACAACCACTGTGCGCTGCTGAGCTTTTTTTACGCATCTCGGTGCGTGGCATCTAATTAATTCAGCAACTGTCTGGCGTGGCGTGCCGTGCCGTGCTTCTAGCCGTGCCTCTTCCTCCGCCCCCTCTGGCGCTGCACGCTGCGTGTGTGAATTTAAAAAACAGTCGCCAGCTGCCTGACAACGCCTGAGACACACAGGAGCAGAGCCAGTCGAGATCCTAGCCAAATGCCAAATGCCGAAACCAATGCCTGGAACCAGCTTCATTGCCGGCGATGCAAAATTAAAAAACTTTACATTTGCCCGGCGTAAATAAACATTTTTATTTGCCGTTAGCTGCGGCTGCAACCGCTGCTGCTGCTGCTTCTGCTGCTGCGTCTTGATGCGGTTGCCAGTTGGCGCTGGGTACCTGGCGAAAACCGCATATTAACACATGCTGCTGCGCCAGGATGCGGCGCCAACTGGGCCAGGACACCCACGTCTGAATGCAACAATGTGCAATTAGCAGGCATGCGGCATGTGGCATGTGGCAAGCGCTATTCGGCATCTTTTTTCCTTGCATCTCATTTGCGGTGCGCAACTGACGCAACTAAAGTAACTGCGGCAAACATTTTTTATTTATTTACTCGCGTATTTTACTTTCGAGCGTTGCCAAAAGCGACACAGTTCAAAAAACATTTAATGCCACTTGCTACCTGTGGGTGCAGCAGAGTAGGAGGCACGCAGCAGCAGATGAAGACTTGCACGAGCTTTTAATTAATGTCGCAGTAAGTCAGTCAGATTTAGTAGTAAAGGACTCGGATTTGGGCTTAAGGCGGTCACTGGCTTTACCCAAGCCCAACAGGAGAAAGAAAAGAGTTGGCAATGCGGCATGCCACAAAGTTAAGGATTTAAGGAGATTAAAAAATAAAAATTTTTAAGGAAAAATTGTAATTGTAGGTAGACGTTTTGTCAATGAGGCAACTTAAGCAGGAGAAGGACGACGGCTCAAATTCGTATTTTTCAAAAGATAGTTTGTTGGGCTAGACCTTTAATTTTAATAAAAGTTATAATTGTGTATCCTTTTTCAAAGTTCTTCAGACTGTCTTATTGTTGTGAGCTATCGAACCTAAACTCCAAAACAGTTCAAGTTTGCAGAGGAATGAAAGAATAAATAATGCTTTGCGAATATTCAGGTGAGCTTCCACCCTTAAATTGTCAACGTCTCGACTTGAGATCGGTTCTATTATGAACAATTTCAATACTCCTTTGGGGTGGGCTATCAAATAACCCTACTTTGCATATTATCGAAAAATTAGCTTGTTTCTTAATCAGATTTTTGTGTATGAATATTTGTTACTGCAAAGGTTATTTATTGCAATATATTTTATTGCAAGGATAAATTCGGAAATGCATTATTTATATTAAAAATAATAATAAAATATTATGTAGGTATAAATGTTGATTTATTTAATGTCCCTTACGTACCATCCACGTATCTCTAATCTGAAGTTTTATGCTCAGCAGTATCCTTTCGAAATTCTTATGCTGTTTATATTTATTTACGCATATATTTGCATTTCATTCACTTGGCTCAGTTTATTATAATATTAGCACAGTTTTTATATGTCGATAACATTTCGCTTGCTTTTAACTGTGAACACAAATAAAGTAGTTGAAATTAGATATGCGTGTTTTACTATTGTATTTCACATGTGTTTTTTGTCTTCTAATATTATTATTATATTCGTTCTTCAGGTGTGCGAACAATAGACACACACAAGCGCGGAAGATCGCGCACACACATGTACACACACGCGTTCTACTTTCTGGGCTCTGGTTTCGCTGGGATCTGAAAATGTGAGCGTACGCGTCGAGGGTTTGCCACAAACTGATTCAAAGCAATGCAAATAAATGCGCAGCATGTTGGGAATACGCTTCACATGTGAATGTGGATATGGTTATGGATATGGCAAAGAGCTCGAGCCGCTCTCACCCTCACGCAACACACGGCCCGCACCCTCAAATGGCAACACACACACACTCGCATACACACACACACACACACACTGATATGTGTTTATGTGGGCAGGATCAGCAGCTCTCGCTCTCAGCTCGTCTCTCTCGCTGCGCACTCGTCACGGCGCAAAATTTCCACAGTTCTGCAGGTGATAATCAGGTGTGTGTGCGTATAAGAGTGTGTGTGTGTGAGTGTTGACACATGTACAACAGGCACAACAAACAGTGCAACACGCAAGTAAATAAACACTGGCCCGCACAGGTAACTGACAGCCTGAACATAAAGGTCCTGGCACAGGTATTCTGTCCAATTAAATGGCCGCTGACAGATCAATTTGTGAGCCCATTTACAGCGGCCATAAACCTGTGCATGTGTGTGTGTGTGTGTGTGTGTTTGCTTAAGTGTGTTTGCACTCGATCCCTCAATTTGTTTGGCAAATTTCACAGAACTTGTTTTGGGCTTCATTTGAAAAATCCGCGTTTTATGATAGGCGCGACAACCAAAACATAAATTGTCGGTTTAAAGCGGTTCACAATTTTGTTGATTTTTGCATTGTGTGGCTATTTACTAAGCAAACGGATTATATCAGTATTTTATTTAATTGTTTTCAACAATTTTTCTTTTCAATTAAGAGTTTGTGTTTTTATTGATAGAGAGGATTTCAATATTTTAAAATGACAAAAATTCGTTTATATCGGGTTTTCTTTCTTTTTTGTTTTTAAATTTTGCGCAAAAATATGTTTGTAATTTGGATAGAGCTAAAAATTTAAGAATCAAGTAAATAAGTTTTAAATTTTTGGAAAATAAAAAAGAGATGAAACAAATATCTTAAGTTTCCACCGATTAGGCAAATCAAATTTCTAGCGGCATGAATGTTACTCAAAAACTTAAACAAAAATATAGTTAAAACAGAATTTTACATCGTTTTATTATCATTCAATACTTTTTTAAGAACTTTAAATTTTATATATAAAAAGAATAAAGGAGTACATTTTCAATTTTTAATCTCCATCATCTATTTTGGTTCAAATATATTTGTGGTATAATTGAGTTTTATTCTTTTATCAGATCTAAGTATCTAAGAAATCTTTTGGATATTTTAAACCGTTGTCAATTTAAAGCTCAAGTTTTTTTTTTTTTATTTATTTTGAGTGTTTTGTTCTTTTTTCGAAGAAATTCACCGTTTTTAAAAACTTTTCATTACCATTTAATGTTATTAAATATGCTCGAAAGAATTTTTAAACTATTCAATTTGTTTTTCCGTAGATCCCGTTAAGTCCTTTTTCCTTATCAAAACACGTCCATCTTCGGACAGGACACACAGACAACTGTCTCAGGAATTGTCTTCAATCGAGTTTTTTACCATTCACATGTGAGCGCACGAATTTTATCACATACTTTTAAAAAAGAGTTAACGGTATTTTTTGGCGTCGGCACGAGCTCGTAACGGTTAACGGTAACGGTAACGCCACGCTCAGCCTGTGTGTGTGTGTGTGTATATGGGTGTGTGCGTGTGTTCTGTGGTCGCGTGTATGTTTCGAACCGTTCAAACGTCACGAAGCGACTAATTCAAATGATGTCGGCCCGAAAAAACAGATATGCGAGCCAAAGGCAGCGACGGCGACGTCGGCGTCGGCAGCAGCGTCACACACACGCGACCCCCACCAACGCCCCCGCCCCCGTAGCCGCTTCCGTTGACGGCGGTCCACCCTTGCCGCCCACGTGCGCGCACACGTATGAGCAGGCGAGGCACAAACAACAAACAGCATGCGAAACACATGAGGATGC